GACCAGGAGGGGGTACATTTCTAACTAGGTGGGGACCCACTTTGAGAGGCCCTTGACCTCCTGCCTGACCTGGTGCTGGGTTCAGGGCTGGCTGGGTGGACCTATTCCTGAGTCCCATCACCTCTGGAACGCCGACTGTTTCCCCAACTAGATAACCGTTGACGGATCCATGTCCTGATTCTCAGTGTGTTGGTGTGTCTGCCAGCAGGAGGGACAGGGCTTTGGGGAAGTGTTTACAAAGGAGTGTGGGGTGGGATGGGAAGTGACAGAGGAGTACATTTCCACCCCAGGGCTAAGCCAAGGGGACGCTGGCTTGCTGGACCTGGAGAGAGGACTACACTGGGCTGTATCTGGGATGGGGGTGGTACAGAATGGGCTATGTTCCCCAGCTGCTCTCTCTTCCACCCTCTAGCCTCATGCTGGGCTTCCTATTGGCCAATCCTCAGGTGCTGGGCCTCTTGACCAATCCTCAGAAGCCAGAGGGCTGAGATGTTGGGTGTGTGTGTGTGTGTGTTTGTGATGGAATCCAAAAAGGTCACTCCCCCATCAGGGCCACTGAGCACAGGGCGATGGGGGAGACTACCAACTCTCCAAGCTGGGATTCTGGGGGTCAGAAAGAAGCCATGTGGGGTGGAGACAGGACTGAGAGGAACAGTCCATCTCTGACAATGGCACCTCCCCCCCACCCAACCTCCCAAGTCCACCTGCACTCGAGTCTTGAGCTGAGCTCTTGCCACAGCTGTCTGCTCATTTTCTAACCCCAGAACCCTGGGCCTAAGGTCCGAAAGTCAATAGTGTGTCCTCTGGAAAGACTGGGCCCCTACGTCCTCATGACCCTTCAGGGTGTGGAGCCCGGCAGAGCTGGGAAGGAAGAGAGGCCTGGCCTTCACTGAGGCTCTACTTCTCACTAGCAGGTGAACCTGAGCAGGCCATTGGGTGGGGTTTGTGGTCCCTCCCAGGGTCGTTGGGTGTTGGATGGTAAACCCCAGAGGTACTCCAGAAATGTACGGCCTCTTCCCTTGCGCTCCAGTCTTTCTCTCTTCCCCCAGTCCGAGCTGGCTCTGTGGGGCTGGAAGAGGCAACAGCGAGCCCTTCCCACCCCCTCACCCCTCCACCCCTTAGGGCTCTCCTACACACAGCCAACTGAGCCGGACTGCAGGGTCAGCGGTGGTGCTTCAGGTGGCCATGGTGACAGGCTATATCCAGGCATTCCTGGCAGACACTGGACCTCGGCCCTGGCAGGTGGCCTCTCTCCCCTTTCAAGGCCTTCCCTCTGCAGCGACTGAGGCTCCCAGATGAGCTTCATGGCAGTGGACAGCTATGTTCTGGGACAGGGTGTTTGGCAACAGAAGGGGCAGGCACATGCAGGGCAGGTGTGATGAGTACAGACAGGTGGGTGGGTGTGAGCAGGCTGGAGATGAGTGAAATGAGCATGCGGATGGTGGGCCTGGGAGTGGCAAGCATGCCCGGTCAGTAGGGTCTCAGTGGGGTGGGTAGAAGGACGTAAGGGGGTGTAAGGAGGCCACTCGGGGTTAGGCACGGGGGCTGCCGGACTAGAGCAAGTGCTGCTGCAGCCCTGCTAGAACTGGAATTTCGGGGAAGCCGGGGAGGGGTGGTGTATGAGGTCACTTGTCCCCCAAGGAGCCCCTAGATAGGAACACAGACCTGTGGGGGGCGGGGACCAGAGCTGCTTGCATGTGGGTGAGTGAGGCCACTGAGCTCCGAGGTCAGGGGGAAGCCAGCTCTTTCCTGGACCTTTCTTCTAGCACAGCGGGATAGTTCGGCTCCTGGAATTTGTCTCCATAGAGACACCCCCCCACCCTGGCCATCTCTAAACTGGGGCAGGCCTGGGCAGGCCAGCACTCAGGGCCTCTGCCTGCCTCCTTGGCCCATCTCTGGAATGTTCTTCCTGCTGACCTGTCCCCAGCAGGCTTCATGCACAGGATCCCTTGTCCCCCAGAGGCTGCACTCAGGGTAGGCTGCCCTCTGCAGCTGGGTGCCTCCTTGGCCGCCTTGTGCGACTCCCCCTCACCCCCTCACCCCGGGGCTGGCTGAGCCGGCAGCGGCGCCTTGGGCTGGAGAGGTTTGTTCAGGTTTCCTCACTTCCGTCTCCGCCTTCACAAGAGTGGAACACTCCTTGTCCAAACACTTGCCGTGGAGTCAAGGATGCCGAAGAGCCGGGACAGACTGGGGTCCCCCCCCCACCACCATCCCCTCCTCTGTGTGCCCTGGGTGCCCTGCTCTCTCCCACGCTCTTTCTGCTCTGGTTCCGGCTCTTCCCAGAGCCGCCTCTCAGCACAGCTGCACTGGGGGCGTCTCTGCAGTGGGTGGAGCTGTGGGGAAGTGAGCAGAGCGTTGGGGTCAGGCAGACTTGGGGTCCCATCCTGGGGTGTGCGGAATCAGGCATCATCCCTGGCTGGTCCTCAGCTCCCTGTCTGTTGAGGAGGCTGTGAGAAAGGGAGAAACCAGGTCATGTGGGGCGGCCCAAGCCTGTGCACCGTGTCTCGGTCTCCTAGGGCTGTGGTGACAGAAACACCACAAAGGACAAAACACAGAGAAATGTCTTTTCTCACCGTGCTGGAGGCTGCGGTGGGTGCTGGGTGCCATCGCGTCGGCTCCGACGCAGGGCGACGGCACCGTGGGATGACACCCTGCACAGTCCTGTCGCATCCGCACGGATGTTCCCAGGCCTCAGCCCATGCACGCAGCCCCTGTGCCACTCCAGCTCCCCAACAACCTTCCTCTGTCCCCCTGCCCTTCCACTGTATCCAACATCATGTCCTTCCCCAGGGACTGGTCTCTCCTGGCCACATAGCCAAAGTAAATGAGATAACGTCTCTCCATCCTTGCCTCTAAGGAGCACTTTGGCCTTAGATCTTTCAACACAGATCTGCTTGTCCTTTTAGTAGTCCGCGGTACTGTCGGTGTTCTTCTCCAGCACCACCTTTCAGTGCGCCGATTCTTCTACAGTCTTCCTGATTCAGTGTCCGACTTTCACATGCCTATGAGGCCATGGAAAACACCCTGGTTTGGGGCAGGTGCACCTTAGTTCTCAAAGTAACATCCTTGCTCTTCAACACTCTAAAGAGATCGTGTGTAGCAGATTTACCTGATGCACTGCATCTTTTGATCTCTTGACTGCTGCTTCCATGAGCATTGATTGGGGATCCAAGTAAGGCAAACATCCTTGACAACGTCAACCTTTTCTGCATGGGTCGTGATGTGACCTATTGGTCCAGTTGTGAGACTCTGGATCTTCCTTAATTAAGTCGCAATCCCTACTGAAGGCTGCAATCCTTGATCTTCGTCAGTCAGTGCTTCAAGTCCTCCTCACTGTCAGCAAGCAGGCTTGTGTCATCTGCATACCGCAGGCTGTTAATAAGCCTTCCTCCCATCCCGACGCCTCCTCTCCTTCACATAGTCCAGCTTCTCTGCTGATCTGCTCAGCATACAGATTGACTAAGCATGGTGACAGAATACAACCCCGACACACACCTTTCCTGAACTCACACCAGGCAGTCTGCCCTTGTTCTGTGCATACAGCTGCCTCTTGATTCACGTCCAAGTTCCTCATGAGCACAATGAAGTGTTCTGGCATTCCCGTTCTTAGCAAGGCTGTCCACAGTTTGTTATAATCAACACAGTGGAATGCCTTGGCCTAGGCGATGCAACACAAGTAAACATCTCTCTGGTATTCTCTTTAGGCCACGATCCATCTGACATCAGCGATGATTTCCCTTGTTCCACATCCTCTTCTGAATCCAGCACGGACTTCTGGCAGTTCCCCATCAATGTGTTGCTGCAACCGCTGTGGGTGACCTTAAGCAAAATTGTACTTGTGTGTGAGATCGGTGACATCGGTCTGTAGTTTAAGCATCCTGTGGGGTCACCTTTCTTTGGAACAGGCACAAATACAAATCTCTTCCAGTCAGTTGGCCAAATAGCTGTCTTTCAAATTCCCTGGCAGAGACGGGTGAGTGCTTCCAGGGCTTCTTTGGCTTTCTGAAGCATTTCCATGGATAGTCCACCAACTCCTGGGGCTCGAAGTCCAAATTCAAGGTGTGGTTCTAGAGAGGATCTTTGTCTATTTCAGCTTCGAAAGCCAAAACACCAAGCCCAAACCCAGTCCTGGAGCCTGTTCCGACTCATCCGTTTCTTTACAGGAACAGACAACCTCATCTTTCTTCTGAGGCGCAGCTGATGGGTTTGAACCGCCAACCTTTCAGTTAGCAGTCCAGTGCCAGCCCAAAGCCCAAACTCACTGCCAAGGAGACAGTTCTGACTAGAACTGCACCTGTGGCGCTCTGAGGCCATAACTCTTTACGGGAACGTCTTTCTCCGAGGGGCAACGAGTGGCTTTGAACAACGCTACCCGAGCTCCTGTAAACCACAGAAGCCAAACTGACAGCCCGCAAGCCGGGACCCTGTGTCCGGTTTCCGAGGCAACAAATCTTTCCTCCCTCAGAGCAGCTGGTGGGTTTGAACTTCAGACCTTGTGGCTAGCACCCCAACCTATAAGCCACTATGCTCTCACGACCCGCAGGGCTTCTCTTGTAGCTGGCGATCCTTGGCGTTCGGGGCTTGTGGATGCATCGTGTGTAGCAGTCTTCCTAGTCAGATGGCTTCTGTCCTCCCCCGTGTCTGTTTGTCTCTGCTGCTCCATTCACAGCCCAGCAAGAGCCCCTACAGCAGCTGCCAGGATGGCGCAGGACCGGGTGCTGCCCTTCTCTCGTCCACGAGCTTGTCATGAGTCACTGTGGACTGGATGGCAGCCAACAGTGTATAACTCAGAAGCCATTAGGTTGAGGACATACACTCCGCTGGTCGATGGTTCAAACCCTGCCAGCCACTCTGAGGGAGAGAGACGAGCCTGTCTGCTCTCGTTAAGATTTACAGCCTCGGAGACCCTAGGGAGTAGCGTCCCTCACAGACTCTGGCGCAGGACCGGGCAGGGCTTCACTCTGCTGTGCAGAGGGTCGCTATAGGTGGGGACCGACCCGATGGCTCCCGGCAACCACACGGGGAGTCGAGGTCGACTTAGTGGCAGTGGGTTTGTTGTTGGTGTGGTGTTGGGCTTTTGTACCGTAAGACCTCAACAGACTGATTGCATTCGACCATCGATTGTGCTCTGGAGGTGGTGACAGTGTGATCCCTGGGTCAGCCCCTCTCACAGAGGGCTTCCCTCGTGTCTGCGGACCCTCTACTCAAGTGAACCGCTGTCCCTTTCCTCTCTAGTGGCAGTCGTGGTGGCTAGGTGCCATGGAGTAGACCGGCCCCATGGGGGTTCTAGATTCTACTCTTCACCGAGACAGATTGCCAGGTCTTGCTTCCTCAGAACCCGGGGGTGGATTTGAACTCCCGTCCTTCCTGCTAACAGCTGAGCTCAGCCTATTGTCTCAGCAGGGGTCCTCATGCTCGTGACGGGGTTAGGATTGCAACACCTACTGGGGGTCATCGGGTGGGGGGTGCACAACTCACGCCCTGACTGTGGGGGCTTTTGGATATGCCAAGGTCACTGGCTCTCTTCCCTCCAAGCCTGGTGGGCACCCGGGAGGGGCAGGGCTCTCTGCTGCGGAGGCTTGGCCTCGGCTGAGCTGGCAGTGGGTAAGCCGGATGCTGACGGTGTGTCTCTCTGTCCCAGGCCCCACGTGTGTGTCGAGCGGGAGCTGACCCTGGTGGGCCGCCGCCAGCCCTGTGTGCAAGCCTTCAGCCGCACTGTGCCCGTGTGGACGCCAGGCTGCGGGCCGCAGAGGTGGTGCGTCAGCCACGTGAGGAGGTAGGTGCCGCACCTGATGCACACCCAGGAGTGAGTTCATGTCCCTTCCACAGGGCACTAGGGTCGCTGGGAGGCAGTGCACGGGGCGGGCCCAGCATGGTGGGAACTGGGGGGCTTTATCACTGTGTCGCTGGCCTCTGGCCTCTGTCTTCTCATCTGACAAAAGGACTGACAGCACAGCTGTGGGACGGGCTGCCTGTAGGCTGGTACGGCCCCTGGGAAGGCTGCGACACAGTGCCCAGCACTCTGGAGATGGGACAGCGATGCAGGGGTCAGCGGCTGTGCCCCTGCCCCTGTTTGCGCCATGGCCTGACTGCCTTTGTGCGGCTGAATTTCTCTTGACCGCTAAACGGTGGGCGTTATGCCTCTAGTACTTAACTGAAACTGGAGCTCTGGTCCATTTGTCAGACTCTGACACTCCATGTCCAGAGTGCTGGCCGTGCCGCACAGAGCTGTTGAACTCCTATTTACTCTTCTAAACCCCACCCCTGGGATGCCAGTTGCCTCGCCCACTGTGCCCTGAACCAGAGGCAAGCACAAGGCATGTGGCTTGTAGGCAGAGGGGAGGTGGGGCAGCATGGCAAGTTAGGCCCTGTGGGGTGTGTGTGTGCATGTGTGAGCATGTGTGACCATGTGTGTGGTATGTGGTGTGCGTGTATGTGTGTGCACATGGGTTCGTGTGTTCTGTATGTGTGTGGTGTGTGCTTTGGTGTGTGCATGTGTGGTGTATGCGTGCACATGCATTCATGTGTTCTGCAAGTGTGCTTATGTGTGTGCATATGTTGTGTGTGCACGTGTGCCATGTGTGGGGTGTGCGCGATGTTTGTGTGTATGCACATGTGCTCCTGTGTTCTGCATGTGTGCTTGTGTGTGTGTATGTGTGTGCTGTGCGCGTGTGTGTGATACATTGTGTGTGCATGCGAGTGTGGTGTGTGTGGTGTGTGGTGGTGTATGTGTACCCGTGTGTGTGGTGTGCATGTGGTGTGTGGTGTGTGCATGCGTGTGTGCATGCCTGTGTGTGGATGTGCGTGGTGTATGCGTGTGTGTGTGTGTGTGTGTGTGTGTGTGTGTGTGGTGGTTGTGATGGTGACTAGACCAGCAGGGGAGAGCACTGTGGGTCGTGTCCCACGCGTCAATGTGAGCACTGGAGCTGGCTCAGGAAGTGTCTCCAGGACTTGGGCCAGGTGGGGCCCAAGCAGGGAGTCCAGGGCAGGGCTGTAGACCATCCAGGCAGTCAGCCTTGGGGTCAGGCTCAGAACCTGCCCTGGTCTCAGTTGACCCACCTGCAGAGCAAGGGAAATCACGGTGGGTGACAGACTGGCCCAAGGATTACAGGACCTTCCCAGGTGTCCTGTGGCACCCCCACCCCAGAGCAGTCTCCCTTCCACCTCTCTGCATCCCCATCGCAGGGTCCCTAAGTCCCTACCTCTCCATCGGGCCTGCTGTGGTGAACCAGCTCTCCTGCCTGGCTCCTCTGCCTCCTACCCTGTAAGCATCAGGTTGGGGGCTGCAGCGGACTGGCTCCTTTGGAGGGTCTTTCATTTGGGGCTTCCAGTGACTGGACAGGGCAGCACACTACCACTGCCGCCCCTGGGATGGCCCAGTTCCTGCCCTGTATGGGGAGGGATAAATATTTACGGTGGAAGCGCCCAAACACCCTGCCTGCCAAGCATTGTCCCACTGCTGGCTGCACCCCATGGGGGGCGGGGGGCAGTTTCATGTGCTTCCAAGAGGGCGCGTCTTCGAGGTGCACGTACCCACACTTCTGGGAGGCCTGTGGCCCGGGTAGCCAGTTGTTTGTGAGCTGGGTCCCGCCTTCTGAAGGGATGCCTGAGAGTTGCAAGACGGCCCCTGCCTGCTGGAGATACTGCCCAGGCTCCCGGGCTCCCAGGGTCCAAGGGCCCTATGCCCAATGGCTGTGGGCCAGGCCTGATCAGGGCGCAGGGAGCCTGGAATGTCCGCCTGAGCTGTCCTGTCCAATACCAGGGCTGTGCAGCTCATGGGACCTGGGGGTAGGCATGTGCCAGTCCAGTGAGGGCAGGTAGTTGGGGAGGGAGACCTGAGGGGTGTCAGGGTGGCTCCCAAGCAGGCCCGGGCGTGGCTGTACTCTTGGTCACATCTACTTTCTAGAGTAGCAGAAAGGGACTTTATGGGGGGCCAAAGACCCCTTCCAAACGTGGCCCAGAGGGAGGGGCGGGGCTTAGGAATGAGTACGGTGGGCCTGGGATAGTCTGCCTCCTGTCCGACCTCTGTCTCTCCCCCATGTGGACCAGGTGGGCACGTGCCTGATGTCTGAGCTGGCACCTCCCAATCCAAGGCACTGGGGGTGACTCAGGTGTGCCGGGTCAGTCTTCAGCACCTGGGCGCTTCAGGTTGCACTCCAACACCTTCTGGGATTGGCCTGGCGGTGTGTTGTGTAGATGGTATGTGGTGGAGTAAGGTGGGGCAGGTCACCTGTGGGTCCCGGCTTGGAGCTGGGACCACCTTGTGGGGTGCTGGGCCAGGCAGAGGAACGGGAGACCCAGCACCGGCCACGTCCTGACCTCCTTCCTCCCGTATGGTCCAAACCCTGCCCTCCCTCTGTGCTTTGGGCTAGGCTGTGCGTCAGGACAGGGCAGGGTCAGCTTGCAGCCCCACACGCCAACGCTTCCTCCTCTCTTTTCTAGAACCTTCTACTACACGACCTACAGGCAGGTGTACGCCACAGAGGCCCGGACGCTGCTCAGGTGCTGCCCCGGGTGGACCCAGCAGCCTGGTGACAAGGGCTGCCTCTCCCGTGAGTGCCCCCACCCCCAATTCTGCCTCATCTCATTCAGGTCAGAAGCTATAAACCTGCTCAGAGGTCCGAGCCCCATGCTGTTGGGGACTTCCAGGGCATGGCCCCCAGTTCTCTGCTCCTCATAGACAGAGTGGGGTGAAGTGCCCCTGCTGACGCTGGCTGGAGTCTTGGAAAGAGCTGGACAGGCCAATAGGCTTCTCTGCTGGGTGAGGTCCATCGTGGTGCTTGGGTACCTGGCTGGGGAGACTAGACACATGCTCCCCCATAGCCAGCTAGTCCCCCTGGGACCTCTGCAGGCGTAAGAGAATGGCTCTTTCCTGTCCACCCTAGTCCTCTGCTTCTGTGGGATTTGTCCCCCCAAAGGTCCCTGCTACCATATAGCAAGGAGGGAATGCCACTCATCTTACACAGGGCATAGGCACCGGGGTGGTGGTGGTGGGGGGACATGCCTCCTGTGTCTGAAGAAGCCTGGGCAGGTGCTGTCTGTGCAGATGAGGTGACTGGGGCACAGACAGGCTGCAGATGGTGGGTGGCCAAGGACGAAGGGCCAGGTATCTGAGCCGCACAGGCAGCTGGGGACAAGTGGCCTTGCAGGTGAAGGGGGAGAGGTGGGTTGGCAGGAGATTGTGGGCAAATGAACTGGCAGGTGAGTAGGTGACTGCGGGGACAGGCGGGCCTCTCTACAGATGGGAACAGAAGGGAGAGTCAGCAGCTGAATGGAGAAGACCGGGGGGTCTCCAGGGTAGGCAGTGCCATACCTCCAACCTCCTCCCCTGGACCAGGCAGCCCGGAGACAGTGACCTCCCATTTCTGTGTCGAGAGGTGGGGATAGGCCATGTCCAGGGGGCCAGAGCTCATGCTCCCTGGGTGACTCAGAGGGGCCAGAGCAAGGGGCTGTGGGCCTGCGCCCTCCCCTGACCCCCTCACACGGGAAAGTGGGCAGCTGCCAGGGCGGCGGTGCGTCCTGACATGAACTCGGCAGGAAGATGGGAAGAGAGGACGGGTGATGTTTTTACAGCAGAGGAAGCGGGCGGTTCTGGACGGAGGGAAAGGAAAAGAAGGATGCTGTGTGTGTGAGTGTGTATGTATATGTGTGAGTGTGTGTATGTATATGTGTGTGTGTGTATATGTTATGTATGGGTGCATACGAACATGCGTGCAGGTGCTGGGTCCTGGCCAGCAGTCTACCCGCCCCCCCCCCCTCCGAGCCCCTTACTTCCTCAGGACAATCGCAGGCAGGCTTTCACCACTGCTGACACACCCCTGTGTCCCATCCCCACCGTGGTGTCTGGTGGTCAAGGGCTGGGGGGTGGCAGGCAAGGCAGCATCAAAGTGGGGATTTCCCCCCCAGGGTTCCCATCCAAGGCAAAGGTCCCTTGGCCTCCCTAAGGGGGTTACAGAACTTTGAGGGGGCAAGAATGGAAGTGGGATCATGCTCAGAAGGGACAGTGGATATACACCCTGGCAGAGCAGGGGGCCCTCTGGTTGGGAGTGGGTTGCCTCCTTTGGACTGAGATGGAGCTAATGGGGTACGTGCCGCCAACCTCCACCACCCTGGGCTGGGCTTTGGGGAAGCCCAGAGGTGCTGGCTGTGGCCGCCCAATGAGAAGAGCTGAAGCCAACCCAGGACCATCTCAGTAGGAGGCCACCTTCCGCTGGGACCCTACTGCAGCCTTGGCCCGCTGGGCTGGAAGAGCTGGGCTTGGCAGCCAGAGGTGATAGGGACGGGCGTGGGGTGGGTGCGGGTTGTTGTCCTTTACGAGCCGCAGTGTAGAAACCCCACGCGCACCCCTGAACTTCATGCGGGACCTCACGTGTGCCCTGAGCTGGAAGTTCTGGTTTCTCAGCTGTTTGTTTAGGGAAGTTCATGTTTAGCCCAGGGTTTACGAATCTATTTTCTTGGGCCCAGAAAAGCCCTCTGATCTGGCTGCTCCGGAACCTCCTGTGTTTGCCTCTTGTGTTACGGGAGTAGAGGTGGGTGCCTGTGGGGTGGGTGTGGCTCTCAGGGTCCCAGAGGGCTGCGAGAGGTCCCCGGGGGCCATGTAGCCATTTGTCCCTCAAAGGCCTGCCTGTCCACTCACATGTTTCTGGTGGGCTGCCACCGAGTGGTGCCTGTTGTGGGTACTGAGATGGGTGAGGCCTGGTCAGGGAGGTCACAGTGCAGTGGAGGGGAGGGGTGGGGTTGCCACTCCTAGAATCTTGTCCTGTGACCTGTGGGCAGCGAGGAGTACAGGAATGGCCTGGCAAGGAGGCACCCTGAATTTGAATCTGACTGGTAATCACTAGGGAAGGCCGGGGAAGGTGGGCAGGCAGGCCAGGACTGGGACCACCCCCTGCCAGGCAGACCCTCCAGGTCAGCGGGTGATGAAGCCTCCCTTGACTGTCTCTCTGCTTGCCCTGAGCCTCGGCCTGGGCCCTGTCTTGCAGGGCCTGGGACACTAGGGCAAGTGTGTGAGCCGTGCGAGGGAGAAAGGACGATGCCGTGGTGTCCTGGGCTCAGATTCCCCGGTGCACCCATGTGCACCCCAGTGTGGCCACACGGGTGTCTCGGACTAAGAACTAAATGGGTGACACCAGTGAAGCCTTCAGGTGGCCTTCGTTCTAGGTGGACTTGAATGTCCACTCTTCTTGTTAGTAGCTGAGTGTCCCTGCAACGCCCGCCGGTACTTTTGCTGCTCTGTGATGGAGGTGGTGGCGATGGAGCTGGTGCCTGGGGGACCCTTACCATGGCGTGTTGGACAAGGCTCCAACTGGCAGGGGTGATGTCAGACCAGTGGCCCCCACCCCTCCCACCCGCCGTTGTGACATTCTTGAGCTCCAGTGTGACCTGGAAGTGTGGCAGTGTGGAGGACAATGTCGGGGTCTGAGGGTGAGGGCGGGCCTGATTGGAGTGGGGCTCCAGACCTTCGGTGCTAATGAGAGAGAATGGCCGGAAGTGTCGGCTGGGGCTGCCGTTCTCCGAGCTCCACCCAGCCGCATGTGGCTGCGAAGGCCGGGCCAGACAGGCTCCTCCGTGACCAGGGCCCCGGAGCAGAGTGGGGACCCTTGTTGCACAGAGTTGGGGACCTGGTGCACAGTGTGGGGGACATGGTGCAGAGTGGGGAACTGCTGCACAACGTGGGGGACCTGGTGCACAGCGTGGGGAACATGGTATAGAGTGGGGGGACCTGGTGTGCAGTGGGAGACATGGTGTAGAGTGGGGGGACCTGGTGCAGAGTGGGGGGCATAGTATAGAGTGGCGGACATGGTGCACAGTGTTGGGGGCTTGGTGTACAGTGTGGCTGAGGGAGGTGCCTGGGTGCCCGCATTTCGGCCCCGCCCTTGAGAGGGACACTGATGGCCGGGCAAGGCGGTGTGGTCCTGGGAGGCCGCCTGGGCTCCCTTCTGCCTCTTGCAGCCGGGTGGGGCGGGGCCAGAGTGCGAGACGGATCCGAGAATCTTAGAGGCAGCAGTGTGTGTGTGAAGTGTGTGTGAAGTGCACACTTGGGCAGTCGTCCGTGCTGCAGGACACGTGGGGCGGTCTGCGTGGGGTCATCGCCTGGGGCCGTCTGCGTGGGGTCCTCTGTGGGACTGTATGCCCGTGCTGGTTTCTGGAGGGAGTACTAGCAGTTTCAAAGGCCCAGGTCCATGGACGTCTGAGAGAGAAAGAAGGCGAGGGCGAGGCCGCACTGTGTGCTTAGAGCGAGTGTGGAGAGGTGCTGCTGTGGGTGGCAGCCCCCCCGCCCCACGCCCCATGGGGCCTTGGTGCTTCGAGAACGGAAACTGGCCCAGCCCATCGCATGGCGTGCAGGGCCCCTAGTGAGCGGGTCACTCTGGGAAGGAAGGAAGGAAGGAACCAATTATAAAAGCCGGCTGCTGACTAGCGCTTCAAAGAGCAGGGACGCAGGGGCAGGGGGCTCAGTGTGGGCCCTGGCACAGGGATCGAGGACGGGAGGAGCCTCCTGGAGCAGGGTGCGAGGGGCAGGGGTTACAGGACAGAGGGTGCAGGCAGTGGCAAGGGGGTGCCAGATGTCCTCCTTATAAAACTGTCCTAGCAGGAGTGGGGTGGACAGAGGGGCAGCAGCTGGACTGCCGACTTAGCCTGCGTCTGAGTGCCTGGCACCTCGTCCTTGTGCTCACAGCTGGGGAAACCCGGGGCACAGAGCTGGGGCCCTGCACTCACCCACTGTCTGATTGACAGGTGGGCAGGGACACTGCAGGCCTCCCTTGCCCCTGGGATGTCCAGATGGCATTTGCCTCTCTGGCTCCCTGCATGTGGGCCCGGCCAGGAGCTGGGTGTCGACTGCAGGAAGGGGCCGCCGTGACCGGGGTGTCCCTCTGCTTCCTGCCTCTGCACTTGCTTTTCCTTGTCTTTCCTGGATGGACAGCGTGGGAACATGCAGGCGCGCGGACACCAGGCACTGCTGCATCCTTCCCCCCTCATGACCTCTCGCAGCATGCCTCCCGATGGTGGGGTCACACTCAGAGCTCCCGCTCGCTCACACTCTTTTCCCTCCCCCATAGCGATCTCACTGCCATCGAGTCAATGCTGACCCTTATTGACCCTGTAGGACAGAGTAGGCCTGCCCCTGCGGTTCTCAAGGCGAGATCGTCAATCATGTCAGAAGCCCACAGCCTCCTCGGTCTTCCTCAGAGTGGCCGGTGGATTTGAACTGCTGACTTTGTGGTCATCAGCCCAGGGCGTATCCCACTACACCACCAGGGCTCCTTTAGAGAGTCTGTCTCTCTCACTCACACATGCACACACGTGCACCCTCAAACACACTCATGTGTGCTCACCGCTCACTCGAATGCCCACATGTATTTGCCCACACTCCCCACGTACACACCCACAAGCAGAGATACAATCGCTCCATGTTTGCCCCTGCCAAGCTTGGTTCCACCCTTAGGAGCCGTGTCCCATCCTTGGTTGGACCCAGGAGCTGTAGGCCACACGGGCCTCATGAGCTCACAGTGCCTCTGGGCCGGGAGTCCTGCACAGGGCGGGGTGGTGATCT